TGTGTGTGTGTGTGTGTGCATGTATGGGCCAAAGATCTTTCAAATCCATAAATCATTTTGAAATTTGAAATCTCCCCCCTTCCTTGCACACACTTTTCCACACCAAAATTCTTTGTCCAATAATTAGTACTCCAAACTACAGTAGCTTACCTCTCTGCGCAGCTCCGTGACCCGGCGGTCCATGGTCGACCTTGAACTCGTCTCATCCTCAAGGTCAAGGGTGAGTCTGGCCAGTTCCTGCTTGTGTTGCTCCGTGACCTTGTCCAGCTGGGGACCGATCAGACAGTTTAGTTATAGTAACAGTTTTACGGCACTTGCAACACATTTAGGTCACATAAGTGCCGAGGATTAGACGTGTTACAAGAGAGTAACAAACACAAAAAAGGAGGGGAGATAAAGACGATAGATGTTTGACCACCTGCGAGTGAGGGTTACGTTGTTTCAGTTTATAAGAGTTTTAGTTTAGTTTTAGTAAAAGTTTTAAGGCTCTTGCAACACAATAAGGTCATATAAGTGCCGAGGATTAGAGGAGTTACATTAAGAGAGTAACAAACACAAAAAAGAAGGAGGGGAGATACTGAAGATATATTTTTTATAGGAAAGAAGGAGCAAACCACACCAGAGCACCCATCAACCACCCAGACAGCATCGAGTGGGGGTTACGTTGTTTCAGTAAGAGTTTTAGTTTAGTTTTAGTAAGAGTTTTACGGCACTTGCAACACAATAAAGTCATAATGAATGCCGAAGAATACATGTGTTACAAGAGAGTGAGTTTTAGTTTTAGTTTAAGTTTTACGGCACATGCAACACAATAAGGTCATACAAGTGCTGAAGATTAGAGGTGTTACAAGAGAGTAACATACACAAAAAAGAAGGAGGAGAGACCAGGACGATAGATTTAAGGTGGGAAAGAAGGAGCAAACCACACCAGAGCACCCGCCAACCACCCACACCGATCAGACAGCATCGAGTGGGGGTTACGCTGTTTCACTAACAGTTTTCGTTTAGTTTTAGTAAGAGTTTTACGGTTTTGGCAACACATTTCATTGAGGTCATATAAATAAGTGCCGAAGAATAGATGCGCTAGTTTTAGTTTTAGTAGAGGTTTTACGGCGCTCGCAACTGCATAGGGTCATATGAGCGCCAGAAGATCAGAGGGGTTACAAGAGAGTAGCAAACACAAAAAAGAAGGGAAGATAAGGACAATAGATGTTTGATAGGAAAGAAGAAGCAGACCACACCAGAGCACCTGCCAACCACCCACACAAGAGAGTAACATACACCAAAAAGGAGGAAAGATAGGGGAAATTATAGATGGTTTGTAGGAAAGAAGAAGCAAACCACACCAGAGCACCTACCAACCACCCACTAGTAAAAGTTTTAAAACTGCACACTTACAAGGCAATCAAGTCACAAAGTGCCAAAGATTAGAGGTGTTATAAGAGAGTAACAGACACCAAAAAGAAGGAGAGATAAGGACGATAGATGTTTGATAGGATAAAAAAGGAGAAAACCACATCAGAGCACTGTCTTCTATCACACACTGGGAGTCACACCACGACAACCATTATTAAAATCTCGTAAACTAATGAACTGCCACATCTAGCAAATTCACAGGACTTTAAAAAATACACTTTACACAAACCGATATAATATGCCCATCATACACAAAGCATTTCTTCTCCTTTTTTCAACATTCATGTGGTAAACCGCCCAAGGCCGAAATAATAAATGGGTACTTTAAGCTTCAGGGAGCCGAAGTGGGGCAACTGTTCATCGTCTTAGAACACGCAAACTTACTGAACAGATAGAGAACTTTCAAGGGCGTATCGTAAGAATGATATGGTATGGACTTTTAAAGATTCTCAATAGAACTCAGATCTTCTGCGTGCGAAAGCAAAGCACCTAATTAACCACTACACCACATACGTCGGTTCACAGAACCGGTGTGCTGTGGAACAGAAATACGTGACCCACTTAGGCGAGGTGCACTTCAAGGTCGTATTTACTTACCTATCTAGATCTAGTGGAAATATTTGTGAAAGTTTCCCCTACAAAATACACCCATTAGTAAAATGAAGGAAACAACTCCACGGTATATATACGAACCATACGTTCACCAGCAAAGTTCTTTGTCAGTGATACAGAAGGAAAGCAAATTGCTTGTAAAAAAATGGTGGTTGAATGAAGAAAGCAACTCCACAAGTATACGAACCATAAATTTACCAGCAAAGTTCTTTATCGGTGATACAGAACGAAAGCAAATTGTTTGACAGTAAAAAAATGGTGGTTGAGTATCTTTTTAGTCAATATATGAAAGTCTCTTCTATAAATAGCAGTTTTTCATGAATCCATTTATCTGTGCGCACCTGGATTCAGCCATATTGTGTGTGTACTCTTTTTTTTATCTCTTTTTCTTGACGCCTCTTTTAAACGTTAGACACCATCAATAATAAACCCACTTTTCGTTGTACAGTTTGTTAAAAATTTACTTATTTAATTCACTTATCTACTTTTAAGTGTAATATATATATATATATATATTTAGTAGATGTTTTACGGCGCTCGCAACTGCATACGGTCATATGAGCGCCAAAGGGTGGATGCCAACAGAGAAGTCTTTACAGGGAATCAGACTTATTCTGCTCACCTCTCTTGCTTCAGCAGCACAAAGTCTGCTTCGACTATCAAGGCACCCTGGAAATAGCGGGTCACAAGAGTGTGACAAACATACAAAAGAAGTAGAGGAAAATGACGATAATAATGGTTAGGGGAGAAAAAGCAGCAGTTCCCTGTTGTAGTTCCGGCAGAGTTATGAGCATGACATAGTGGGATCAGCCCATTTACAATTCTACTGTGCATAGAAACGAGAAATGTTCCCCCATTTGGGAATGGCCTAAAGACACTTCAGTCAGTGGCACCGCTTGAAGTTTAAGTATATAAAATTACCACAAATTATTTTCAGGCTTTAAGAAGTGAGGACAAAGACTATTTCTTTCACGACCGAAATAAAGGAAGACAAAGTCAAGAAGGAAATTACATTTGTGAGGCAGCGTGGTGGAATCAGGCTCTCGTCAAAATAATCAAAGTGTAGAAACTTGCATTTTTCCGCATGTTTGTGAATTTTTATCAAATTTTTGTTTTTTGGCTCAACACCTTTCATGCCCGTTCAAGAACTCATTTCTGTGTGGATTTTTCTGAAAAACGTTGATTAAATGCACAAAAAATGTTAATTTTCAGTTACCACGGACTCTTAAGTTAAGTAAATAACTAATCTTTGGCGATAATTTTCTCACTAATTTTACCTCTGAAAACAGGTGACCCCCACCTCCTTCTTTAGCAAATATCTCGACATGTATTCAAGATAAATGGATATTTTTTTCCATCTAAATAAAGACAAGTGAACAAGCTT